CGGCTCCCTGCAGCACCGCCGACGCTGCTGGGCTGCCCGCAGGCGGCCCTGCTCAGCAAGCGGCCCCTCAGCCCACGCTCTCCCGCTGCGATTCACTGCCAGTACCTCCCGGGAGAGACGCGTGCGTGTTCCTGGGCCCCCGCGCACGCAAACATTTGTGCACATCTTTCGGATGGACATACGTGAGGAAGAGGGCAGACTTCTCATTAGCTCCAGCCCCTCTCCTGCTCCTCAGCAGCGTGGCCGCGTGGGGCTGCCTTTCAGCGCTCTAACCCCACACACCATAGTCATCGGAGCGGGACCTGCACCCTGAAAATCAGAGGTGCCCTCCAGAGCAGCAGTAGATCGGCCCTACTGCCGCTCTGGCTGAAATGCCACTGTTGTCTTCTTCCCAGGGTGAACAAGTCCAAACTGATTCAAGCTTACTCTGCTGCTAACACACTGCTGCTACGAGAGCCCGAACTAGAAAAACCAGATGCCAGTCACAGGGCAATCCGCAGCAAAGCTTGCACTACTTTGACTCCCAGATTTAAATCCTGCAGTTGGTCCTGTGCAATACATTTGGCCACCTCACCAGCCGTTCAAACGCAACATACACAGCGACTGGCCTCATCCCACCTGCCGCCAGACTTGTGTCTCACATCCTTGTGGTACCTCTACAGCTTCTCTCTGGTGATCACACAGATCACAGATCTCAGCGATCCCAGGGATCCAGTGACCAGCTGCTAGATGGGAGAGGGGCTCCCTTACAGGGCGAGGTGCAACTCAGAAAGGACTCGGCTTAGTCTGTCTCCTGTTGATTGGTCAGAAGCGCTGGACATGTCCCTGGTAGACGATGGTGATGCCTCACGTTTTGGAAAAGGAAGTCCATGAGAGATGTTCAAAAGCACCTCTAGGCCCTCCACCTACAGCCTCGTGGGAAGTCCCTAGTTCCACATGCCAGTAAACACAGCAAGAGGGGCTGTGCTCCTGGATCCTAGGTCAGGCCACAGCCGAGGTGGGCAGCTAGGGTCAGAACCCTCGGCTTCGTTAGCCACAGGCACACAGTAACAATTGGCACCAGCTGAAGATCAAGTCAAAGCGAGGGAAAGGACGAGCTGGGCAGCTCCCTGCCGCTAGCTTCCCCTGTGAAGGCGAACAGTCCTTCTGGGACCACTTTTACACTGGGAGTAGGATTCAGCCCTTTCTTACAGGGACCTCAGCCGCAAAGTCAGGAGGAGAGGCCAACCCTGCATGCCTCTTGCCTCTTCCCCCTCACTTTACGTCCGGAGCGGCGGCTGGCAGAGCTCCAGCAGGACCGGGGCGGGGGGAGGGGATAACGGAGCCAGCAAGGCAGCGCGGGGCTGCTCCTTGTAAACACAGCGGGTGGAAACCGCGGTGCCCTGGGCCCCAGTCCCACCCTCCTTTTAGCCCTGGGCTCTTCGGAAAAACGAAGGTCTGAGGAAGGGCCAGCCCGCCCCCAGCCCGGCGCGGGAGGCGCGCGCGCGGCAGCAGCAGGGGGCGCTCCCGCCCGCCTCTGCACGCGGCGCAAGGCAGAAGCCCAGGAAAACAGCCGTGCGCTGCCCTAGCTGCCCTGTCCGCCAGTAAATACGTGACTAAGCCCAACTAAATGTTTAGTCTGAGGCCAAAAGATGATACTGGTAGAGACAGCGTGCACCGCATTTCTCTCTGCTTTATCAGACTGCGATTCCCTCCGCCTGGGAGGGGACGCGGTGTATTAGCTCTTCCCAGGCTACAAAAGGCTGGTCCGCAGTCATAGAAAGCTTCTTCTTATAAAAAATGTCATTTCTGTGGTAACTCCAATTTGGTTATTGTCTCAAACGTTTTAACTGTGTTTTCAAGTTTTGGGGCCGAGTCCCACAGCCTGGCCCCTTTAACGGCCTGCTGAGTCCTTTTTTTTTTAAAAAAAAAAAAAAAAGCAGCAGTGTTTGCAAAAGTTAGTGCTAAAGGGGCAGGGGATCATAGGTCCCCAGGGTTGAGTAAACGAGTCTGCAGAAAGAATCAGTTCTTCTAACTAGCACACATTAAGCAGACATAAAGAATTTACCAATGAAAATTGTGGACTAAGTATGTATTTAATAACTCCCTGATGTTGCTGCAGAGACTCCTCCTTTGAAGAGCTCAGTGGGGTTTTGAACGAAGGATAACGCTCACCCCCACCAAAAAACTTTTTTAAAAAGGACAAGTTTTACGTTTATTTTTAACTTAAGCAGCACACCCTATTTTTTCCAGTTTTAAGAGAACTGCTAAACACTTTAGCTAGGCAAATGCAGAGCAAAATAAACTAAATAAGGCAAGTCTAGACTTAAAATTCGATCAGAAACATATGGGAGCTCTTCAAGCTTTTGCTTTTTGAGAAGTGCTATCCCTCCACACGCAGAGTCCACAAAATACGCGTTCAGTAAAGCACAGCTGTAATTACCAGGGGAGGCCCGGCTATAAGAAGATGGCTTCTCCTTTCAGAGTGCAGCTAACACGTCTAAATAAAAGGCTTTCGTTTCTACTTATATTTTATGTTCTCGTTTGCTTGTGACCACCAGAGAACACTTGCAGAAGGCATGCACATAACCATATTTCATGATCCATTCCTATCGGTTTGAGGTTGTAAACAAAAGGCCATTATTCTCCCTCTTCTACATGATTTTGGTTTTCCTGTAGTGCAGGCCTCTCAGAGTACCCTGATACTTGACATTGTCTTTGCAGAATTTAACAAGAAAATATTTAAACAAAATCTCTAAGCGGCTTTAAATCTGAATGCAGGCAAATTTTATTTTAGGGGAAAATAAAAATCTGGATGTGAAGCATACAATAACGGGATTAAAAATTAATTGCTTTCTTTAGGTAAGGAATAAATATTGTTTCCTCATTTGTGTGATTTATTTACAGAGACTAGGTAGCCAATTTCCTAGGCTTGTCCTTGGGACTGTTGTAATGCCTTGACTCATTTGATTTTTATACAGGTTTCACTGTTTCAGTAAGATCCTAAGAGACCCACACAACTTAGCATCTACTTTTCCCTGTTCTTATATCAACCTTTGCAACTTTTATATGGTTCCTCTTGACCTCCATCAGCTTCTGGATTTAGCAGAAAATCCAAACCAGGAGTGAAACTACTGCAAACCATCCTGGTCAAAGAATAGAGGTAAGACATGATTTGTAGGTCTGATCAGGTAGTCTACCTACTACCTGTACTTAGAAACTCTTTCTTGATGCAGCACAGCAACTGTGGAGTCTCCAGCTCATCAACTCAGGAAAAAGGATCTTGAATAGAAGTGAGACAACCAAGAGGAAGAACGAGACTTGACACTA